AGGTATATTCTTTAAAAAAGGGGTATTGGAGTCTCTGGGTTGTTTAGGCTTTAAGGTTTAGGGATCGTCTCCATTAAAGTCCCTTTAGAGGGTATTTAGGGGACCTTATGTTACATGTCAAATTGGTTACACTCCGTACTTAAAGGAATTACAATGGCGACTATAAGCACAACTCCAGGTTTAGCAACAGTAGCCGTGAAGACACAGGACCTACAACACCCAAGACAGAATCAGAACGGTCGGCCTTAATCACTGCAGCCTAAGCCCTGAAAGCCCTATGTAACTTCTCGAAGCCTTAACTCCTAAAGCCTAAGCTTAAACCACAAATCCTTAATTCCATAAACCATTAACGCTCTAAGCACTAGTTCATGTCAACCGAGATCCGCCCAAGCCCGAGCCACGGGTTCAGGGCTTGGGGTTACAAGCACGGTCGTGCTGTTTGGTAAGGTTTGAGACGCCTCAATATGGTGGTTTCTTTTCGACAACAGCAAGACTAGGGGCCTAGTGGATTTAGAGTATAGTATAGCTACTTTACGGCTACTTATGGAACAGTTTTACACGATTTTACCAGACCTTTACACTTATCTGGGACCCTAAACCCCAAACCCTAAACCCCCAACCCTAAACCCTAAGCCCCAAACCCCAAACCCCAAACCCTAAACCCTAAACCGCTGACGGAGGGAAGCTTCGTTGGATTGAGTGGGTATTGGGACGCTTTTGGCTGTCGGGAGTCTGGAGGAGTCGCTGCTTGTACGGCTGATGGACAAAATCCTGCCTAGGGTTTAGGGTTTAGGGTTTAGGGTATATCTTATGTTCGTACACTATGCTAGGGCTGCTAGGGGGGTCGAAGCAGTATGTACAGCACGTTTAGCAAGCTTTCGGGAAGGTGCTCGTTAAAGACAACATCCCTCACATTTTCAAGATGAAGGCGCTTGCACCGCCATGAGGAGGAGCCCAATGACCGCTGTGGAAGAATGGGCTGACTGTAGAAGGGGCTGGCCTTGAGTTGCTAGAAGCACAAGGCCACCTTGTCCACCAAGGAAAAAGAAGAAGAGCGCGGCCCCCATGAGGATGGGATGGAGCTCTGCCGCAGACTTCCCGATGCTCAATGGGTACACGGTGGCTCCATTGCCCAAGCGAGTGGCCCAGCCCAGAAACGTCCCGTAGCCACCCATTGCCAGCAAAACCATGGCCATAGCTCCTGCATGGCCCCAGTGGATCAAGAACTCGGGAGCCAGTCCACTCTCCTGTGCAGACTTGAACAAAGGAGTCCAGATGTTCACCTCAGGACAATCTGCAAACAAGCTATTTCTCTGCGACCACACAAGAAGCTCAGAAGCTCAAGGGCAGCCACGTCACGTAGGACGTTACGGCAGGCTCCACTGCATCCAGCGGGAGGAATCCGTCTCCAGCTCTGCGCATGACAGCCTCCCTGCGCGGCGCGACGGGCGAAACTCCTGTAGCTGAGTATAGTGCACAAGATAGCACCTCCTATACTATAGTATGATATACTATACCGTACTCTCGTATAGTATAGTAGAGTATGTTATGCCATAGTTTTGTATGTTATGCTCTAGTATAGTATACTCTGGCTCCGCAAATAAATATAGCTCCTGTAAATGACAGAGCCGCAGCGCCGAAGCCAAGAAGCCTGGGAAGCGAATGAAAGGTGACATATCGAAAAGTGCCACCAGCTTTAGAATACTATACCATATCAAATACTGTAGTAGACTATACTATTCTAGCTACTCTACTATAGCATACTATAGTATTCTATATGCTCTACTATAGTACAATACAGTAGAAGATAGTATACTCTAGTGTACGAATGAGATAGTGTACTATCGAAAAACGCCACTTGCTTTTTCTAAGAAGAGCCACACGATGACGGGCATGAGTGCCACTTTCGATCGTCGCAGGCTTGCCATGGTTGCAAGGCCCGATCTTCCTCTGGCACCTTTCCGCTGTCTGAGCCCGGATACTTTTCAGGGTTTAGGGGTTTAGGGTCTAGGGTTCATAGGGTTCATAGGGTT